CACAGCTGTTTGAGGTTTCGGTGGCTATCACAGCTCGTCCACATATTGGAGCAAAAGTCCTTCTGCAGTGGGTGCCGTCCAGTCCTCAAGGTCTTTTGCCCATTCATTTCCAAATAAGGTTGGGCTATTTTTGAAGCCTTGGGGTAACACAGTGCAGGTGAGTTGGGGTTTCCGACCTGACTCTGCATTTTCCCATTCAAAAGCAAACAATTTTTGGCTCTCTGGCTCCAAGGGCAGGCAGAAGAAGGTATCTTTTAAGTCTAAAACAGTAAACCAAACAAGATTCTCTCTTAGTTTTGTTAACAAAGTATAAGGGTTGGCCACTGCAGGATAAAGGTCTTCTGTTATTTTATTGGTAGCTCTTAGGTCTTGTACTAATCCCTACCTTTTCCCATCTGGTTTGTGGATTGGCAAAACGGGGGTATTATATTCAGGTTCCCATTCTACTGAAAGGCCAAGTTTGAGAAAGGAATCTATTACAGGTTTAATTCCTTTCCGGTCCCCTAGTTTGAGGGGGTATTGTTTGATTCTTACCAGTTGTGCCTGGGGCTTCAGCCTGACTTGGATCGGTTTGGCGTGCTTTGCCTTACCTGGTATTCCGTCAGCCCGCACTCCTGGGTAGACGTGATCCAGGATGTCCAAGGGGACCTGTTTTGTTACCTGTAGCTGGATTAGAACTAAATATTTCGATTAAGTGATCGTCTCTACTTTGTATTTCACCATTTTTAAACTTGATCTCTGCTTCCAATTTTTCTAATAGATCCCTTCCTAAGAATGATTTTGGGGCATTTGGCATATATAAAAATGCATGCGTTCCTATCATTTTACCCATTTTATACCGGCGAGGTTGCATGTATGGTACCTTCTGTGGCTGGCCTGTCGTCCCAATCCCATTTAAAGATTTGTTATCAATCAAAGCTAATTGTTGATTTAACACAGCAAACGTAGCTCCGGTGTCTACTAGAAATGCTGCTAAGTTTGTGTCTTCTTTCCCCAGCTTCATTATAAGCAGGGGGTTGGCCGGGATTCGACCCTCTGGTCCCCCCTATTCTATTTCTGATTCAACAGGGTGTGGGAGGTGTCCCTCTCCCTTCTCAGTCTGGGACACTGGCTTTTCCAGTGCCCTGCCTGTTTACAAAAAGCAGACTGATTAGGCCGTACCCTATTATTAGGGGCCCTCATTCTACGACCCCAAAAGCAATCTTCCCATGTGCCTTGAGTTTTCCCATTTCCCTGATAGTTTCTTTACCTTAAGGCCGCAGTGGTCGCATGAGTAATTGCTTGACTTAGCTTTTTCCTTTCATTACCGTCTCGGTTGCGGTACACCCTCCGTGCTTCCTCAGTAAGCCTTTCAATATCTTTCTGGTGCTCTGCTCTAAGGTTTTCTAGTTTCTTTCTAATATCATCTGAGGATTGTCCTCGAAAGACGGGTATCAGCTGCTGCCTTCCCAGGGCTCCGGAGGGGTCCAGGGTAGCTCATTTTTGCATTGCCTCCCGTAATCTATCCAGGAATTCCGTAGGAGTTTCACCTGTGTTTTGTTTGACAGCATATAAAGCTCCCCAATTCACGGACAGACTTAGGAATTGCTTGTTCCAATCTAAATGCAATCCGTGTTCGATACCTTGTGAGAAGTTGATAATGGTTGGGGTTATTCTAATCCCACTGTGGTTTAACTGCAGGGTCAGAATCGTCTGCCTTTCCTTGCAATGCCTGTGCAGCGATTAATGCCTGAACATGAGTTCTGGCGGCTTTAAGTATTAGTTCCTTTTCAGTGTCTGTGAGTGCCCTCATGTCATAGGTGTTGGGGATGGTGTCCTCATTGTCTGCCAGGCCTGCCACCGCTGCTGGCTCCTTGGGGCAGCTGCCTTCCACCATGTTCTCTGACACATCAGGGGGAGCACTGAACAAGGCACTCATACCATGGGTGTTGGGGATGATGTCCTTGTTCCCCATCCCTGCCACGGCTGCTGGCCCCTTGGAGCTGTTGCCCTTCACCACTTTCTCAAACTCATCTGGGAGAGCACTGAGCAAGGCGTTCATCCTATGGGTGCTGAGGATGCTGTTCTGACTATTCCCCAGCCCTGCCACAGCTGCTGGCTCCTTGGGGCAGCTGCTCTCCACCGTGTTCTCAGTCAGGTCAGGGAGAGCACTGAGCAAGGCAGACAAATCATAGACAGCAGGGATGGTGTCCCTATTGTCTGCCAGCCCTGCCACCGCTGCTGGCTCCTTGCGGCAGCCGCCTTCCCCCACGTTCTCAGGCACATCAGGGGAGCACTGAGCAAGGCACTCATACCATGGGTGTTGGGGATGGTGTCCTCATGGTTCCCCAGCCCTGACACAGCTGCTGGCTCCTTGCAGCAGCTGCCCTCCACTGTGTTCTCAGGTACATCAGGGGGAGCACTGAGCAAGGCAGACAAGTCATAGACCCTAGGGACGGTGTCCTCATTGTTCCGCAGCCCTGCCATTGCTACTGGTTCCTTGTGGCAGCCGCTCTCCACTACATTTTCAGGAACATCAGGGAGAGCACTGAACAAGGCACTCCTCTCATGGGTGCTGAGGATGCTGTTCTGACTATTCCCCAGCCCTGCCATGGCCGCTGGCTCCTTGGGGCAGCTGCTCTCCACCGCGTTCTCAGGTCAGGGAGAGCATAGAACAAGGCAGACAAATCGTAGACCGCAGGGACGATGTCCCCATTGTCTGCCAGCCCTGCCACCGCTGCTGGCTCCTTGCGGCAGCCGCCCTCCGCCGCATTCTCAGTCGGGTCAGGGAGTGCACCGAGTAAGTCAGTCAAATCGTAGACATCAGGGACATTGTCCTCGCTGTTCTCCAGCGCCGCCGCCGCTGCTGCTGGCTCCTTGGGGAGCTGCTGGACTTGGGCAGGCTCAGCAGAGACTGGCAGCCCCGGGACAGAGGGCAGCACACAGGCACGCACAGGAGGCGGCATGGCCGGAGCGGTGAAGCTCACGCCGGGTACCTCCGATGCCGTGGGCAGCTGGAGAGGGAGCCTCTCTGTTGGGAGAAGCAGAGAGGTGCTGGGGTGAGAGTTTGGCAGGCAGAGCCGGCTGGGGTTTACCTGTAGGGCAGGAGCACCAGGAGGAGCGGGAGCTGCTGCTGTACCTGCCCCGGCAGTTGGTCAGTGCCGGTTGGGCGGGGGCCAACTGCCCCCTCCCTCGGGTTCCGCCCCAGTTCCACGAGTCCTGGCTGCTTCAGCAGCCTCGCGGGGCTTTGCTTTGTCAGCCCCAGCAGCTGCCCCTCGCAATGCTTTCCTGCCCTGCTGGTGATCTCCTGGCCTAAACGAGGCTTTCCCGTGCCGGCTGTGGTTTGGGGGAGGTGAATTTCATGTGCAAGGGGAAGGGATGGGGCCGGCACCGCTGGCCCTGGGATGCTGATGTGCGTGTTTCCCAATCTTCCCCAGTGGTGGAAGTGGGAAGGGGGCTTGTGGCACTTCTGGCAGAGTTGGACTAGGACTGGTCATTGGCAGTGAGGGCGCTGGTCTTTGTCCAAATGTGTGGTACGTGAGCGTTTGAAGGGCGTGAGAACCCTGTGTAAAACCACATTTGGGGTTCCCCGTGTGACCGGGACACCCTTGTAATTCTGTGCTTTGCATCCCAGGCTCTGGGCGCAGTGGGCACGGGCCACTTGTGGATTGTGGTGGCAGTTTGTCAAGGCAGAGGGGACACAGCCGACTGCCTGAGACAGCATCTCCCCAGAACGTGGGCCCGATGATCCGCACTGCGGGCTGGGGGTGAGTTCACCTCCAGATACTGGGATATCAGAGCAGGAGGATCTCCAGAGCTGTGCTGTGCTCTGCTGTTCTGTGCCATGCTGTGCTGTGCTGTGCTAAGCTGTGAGGCAATCTGAGGTGCTGTGCTGTTCCCTTTTAATCTGTGCACTGACCATTATTCAGATAATTATGAGCCTGTTATTTGCCTGAAATGTCAGAGGTTTTTTCAGATCGATGATAATTTTTAAGGACTCACAATGGTTCCATGTGGAAAAAGATTTAATTTCAATTATTTTTTTTTTTTTGTTTCATATCACCTTAGGAAAATCTTCCTCATATCCAGGCTAGGGAGAGAGTCGCAGACTCTTGCCCAGAGGAGCTGTGGCTGCCCCATCCCTGGCATCTCTGACTCCTCTCTGACTCCTCTCTGGCCCATCTATGACCATTCATTGACCCCTATTTGACTCCTCTATGACCCCTCTCTGACTCCCCTATGACTCCTCTATGACACTCTGACACCTCTATGACTGCTCTATGACCCCTGTGTGGTTCCTCTATGAGTTTTGGGGCTGTTTTGGCCTGGTTTTCAGGGTGCTTTGGGTGTTTTGGGCTCTTTTAGGGATGTTTTGGGGTGTTTTCTGGTGTTTTGAGGGTGCTTGGGGTTGTTTCAGGGTGCTTTGGGGGTGTTAAACTGTTGTGGAGGGGGTTTGGGCTGGTTTTGGGGTGTTTTGAGCTGTTTCAGGGGTGTTTTGGGGTGGTTTTGGAGTGGTTTGGGGTGTTTGAGACTGCTTTGTGGGTGTTTTGGGATGTTTTGGGCTGTTTTGCAGATATTTTTGGCTGGTCTGGGGGTGTTTTGGACTGCTTTGGGGTGTTGTAGGGGTGTCTTGGAATATTTTGGGGTGTTTTGGGATGGTTTTGGGGATATTTTGGGCTGGTTTGGGTGTATTTTGGCTGTTTTGGGCTGGTTTTGTGGTGTTTTGGCGGTTTAGGGCTGGTTTTGGGGTATTTTAGGCTGGTTTGGTCTGGTTTTGGGGTGCTGACGTGCCACCCCCCAGTGCAAAGGGCTGTGTCCCTGTTCTCTCTTATGGAACCGGTGCTGAGCCCTGACCCCCCCCTACCCCTGGAGAGGCCGTGGGGGGGCGCCCCCCCCATCAGGTCCAGGGACCCCCCTATATGGAGACCCCCCTCATGTCACCCTTGTATGTGGGGCTGGGACCACCGTCCAATATGGGGACACACTGGTGCCAACCCCCATTCCCCTTTGCCTTCCCCACACCCCCCCCCCATCCTTGGACCTACCCCAGAAGGTGTCGCAGCTCGAGGCCAGGCTAAAGCAGCTCCACAGCAACCTCCAGAAGGTTCCATTTTGGGGGGGTTGGGGTGATTTGGGGCTGTTTTGGGTTCTCACTGGGTGGCACCCGTAGGAGCAGCAGGACAAGGTGGTTTGGGGTGTTTTGGGGGTGTTTTGGGAGTGGTTTTGGGTGGTTTGGAGTGGTTTTGTCCTGTTTTGGGTCTGTTTTGGGGCTCTGACCCTGTATCCCACAGGTGAAGCAGGACAAGGTGGTTTTGGGGTAGTTTTGTACTGGTTTTGGGGTGTTTAGGGCCTCTGACCCTGCATCCCATATTAGAAGCAGGACAGGTGCTTTGGACTGCTTTGGGAGTGTTTTCACCTGTTTTAAGCCTGTTTTGGGGCTCTGACCCCGTGTCCCATAGGAGAAGCAGGACAAGGTGATTTTGGGGTTGTTTTAGGGTGGTTTTGTGTTTGGTTTGGGGTTTTGTGGCTGGTTTGTGGTTCTGAACCTGTATCCCGTAGGAGAAGCAGGACAAGGTGGTTTTGGTGTGGTTTGGGGGAGTGGTTTGGGAGTGGTTTTGTGTGTTTTGGGTTGTTTTTGTCCTGTTTTGGGGATGTTTTGGGGGTTTTGGAGTGTTTTTGTCCTGTTTTGAAGCTGTTTTGGAGCTCTGACCATGTATCTATAGCAGAAACTCTACAAGATGGTTTTGGGCTGGTTTTGGTCTGTTTCGGGTTGGTTTTGGCCTGCTTTTGGCTTATTTTTGTCCTGTTTTGGGGCTGTTTTGGGGCTCTGATCCTGTATCCCATAGAAGAAGCAGGAAGAGGTGGTTTTGGGGTGGTTTTGGCCTGGTTTTGTCCTTTTTCTGGCCTGTTTTTGGACTCTGACCGGGTATCCTGCAGGAGAAGCAGGACAAGGCAGTTTTGGGGTGTTTTGGCTCTGTTTTGTGGCTCTGACCCTGTATCCCATAGGAGAAGCAGGACAAGTTTTTTTTGGGGTGGTTTTGGGGCTATTTTGGATGTTTTGGGGTGGTTTTGGCCTGTTTTGGGGCTGTTTTGGGGTCTGACCCTGTATCCCAGAGGAGAAGCCTCACAAGTTGGTTTTGGGGTGGTTTGGGGGTCGTTTGGTGGTGTTTTGTGGCTGATTTTGCTGGTTTTGTCCTGTTTTGGGTCTGTTTTGAGGCTCTGACCCTGTACCCCTTAAGAGAAGCAGGACAAGGTGGTTTTGGGGTTGGCTTGGGCTGTTTTAGGGGTGGTTTTGGGTGTTTTGGTGTGTTTTTTTCCTCTTTTTGGCCTGTTTTGGGTCTGTTTTGGGGCTCTGAGCCTGTATCCCACAGCAGAAGCAGGACAAGGTGTTTTTTTGGTGTTTTTAGGGTGGTTTGGGGTTGTTTTGGGGGTGGTTTGAAATAGGTTTTGGTTGTTTTTGTACTTTTTTGAGCCTGTTTTGGGGTTCAGAACTTGTGTCCCACAGGAGAAACAGGACAAGGTGGTTTTGGGGTGGTTTTGTCCAGTTTTGGGGCTCTGACCTGTGTCCCATTGGAGAAGCAGGACAAGGTGATTTTGGGGTGGTTTTTGCCTATTTTGGGGGTTGTTTGGGGTGTTTTGGCCTGCTTTTCTCCTGTTTTTGTCACTTGGAGGTGATTTGGCCCTTGCCACGGAGCTTTGTAGCTCGAGAGATTTGCACGTGTTGGATCTGTGCAAAAGTAAGGAACTTCTTCCTTCTGTCCAATCTCAACTTCCCCTGTTTAAGTTTTAAGCCGTTACCACTTGTCCTATCACTCCAGTCCCTAGTGAAGAGTCCCCCTCCAGCATCCTTGGAGGCCCCCTAGAGACTGGAGGCCCCCTTGTAGACTGGAACGACAGCTCAATCTAGACTTGTTTCCAGGGAATTAAATGGCTTTGTTAACCTTTGTATTTCTAAACTGCAGGCATGAGTAATAGTGATGGTAATACCCTAATTTTCTGTTGCTGGGCTGGGAAGCCATCAAATGGGCATATTCTCTGGACACAGTTTTGAGGTTACTGTTCTTGGTTTCCCAAAGGAAAATGTAATGATGCTGAGAGTCACATTCGCAATGTAAAGAAAAAGGGGTGTGTGTGTGTGTGTGAGAGAGACAGAGAGCAAGACTGAGATGGGGTTTACAGGAGACAATACATGGTCAAGAAGTTTGTTTCCTTCTGTGTGCATTTGCCAGGGGGGATGTTTCCTCATCCCCTTTGGCACTCTCCCCTGAAAGGGAGTTCAATGGCCCTGGGAGTGCCCATCACCCCCTTTGTGAGCATGTGAGGGCTGTGGAAGACCAAACAATGCTGACACTGGATGAAGAAACTTGTGGTGAAGTCCTATTTGAAATGAGGCAGTGAGTGTTAAGATACAAGGTGCTTAAGGTATAAGGCTACAAGGTGCTTAAGGTATAAGGCTTACAGAAAAATGGTTGTCTGCAATTTTGAGTTGCAAGCAGAAACTTGTTGGAGTCCCCAAGAATTGTTAGCTGTATTTTAAGCTACCTGCATGAGGCTGGGGTACTTAACGGTCAGATTTAAAATCAACTAAAATTGATGCAGGGGTTTAGAGCTCTCCAAAAACTTCCTGGAACTTTTAAGGTGTGAAAGATTCCTGTAGGAGCACTGTGCTTTCATCTGCAGCAGCTCATTTGGCTGGGCTGGGCTGGGCTTTGACCTCTGCTGCTGTGGCTCAGAAAAAAAACTTCCTTAAATGTGGATTTGTCAGAGGGACACTTGTCCCTTTCCTTCAAATCTTTCTTCTCTAAATCTTGTCCATTGAAAAGGGTTATAATTCATAAATAACATTACAAGAGCTCTTGAGGCTTGCCTTTTCTGGGTAGGACTTGGGAGTCCCTGCTAAATAAGGGCGGAAGAAAGCAAAGTCCCTTTAAAGGTAAGCTCAGGCTGGAGCTTGTGTTTGGCTGCACTGGTGTTCTGTGGGACAAGCCCCGCAGGCTGGGCCTGCAGGTGCAGCAGCTCTCCAGGTTCTTGCTTGCAGTGGTCAGTGCAGTTTGTAGGTGGCTCTCAAGTGCCAGCACATGCTCACCTTGTCCAGTGTCCCCCTGCTCTGTGTGAAGAGCAGCTTTGGAGAGTGGGAGCTGCTTTTTCTTTCCTGCTACAAGGTGAGCCACAATTTTGCTTCCTTTGCTGATACTTGTGTTGCCAAAGCAGGCCCAGTCTTCACCTGTCCTTGTTTGTGTGTCAGAGGTGCTCTTCTGACGTCCCTCTCTTGCTGTTGGGTTGCAGAGGCTTGGCATGAGATGGGGACTGCATTTTGGTAGGTGCTGTGGATGTGCAGGTGAGATGCAATCTTTCCAAAAAGCTCTCTCAACAGAAGAGTGGCACTAAGAGAACAGAAGTAGCATTCTCTCAGCTCTACAGAAAGAGCTGGATGCTATAACATGTCATGAAACTGTTTCTGTGTTGCATGGAGTGCTAACATGTGTTCCCAACCATCTGGATTTTTTTCAATGTAATTGTGAAAACCATTTTCTTGTAATAATGCAGTGAAGCTTTTGCCCAAGGAAATGATGTTCCTTTTTGCCACTGGCAGAGCCTTTGCCAGTGCCTGGTGGCAGCCTGGGGCTGGATCTGTGCTCCCTGTGTAGGGCTCAGTTGGGCTGGTCCCTGTGAGCCATCAGCAGTGGCCAAACAAGGATGGGTTGGTAGGTTTTAAAGGAAGAGAACTGTTATGTCTCATCTGCTGTGAACAAACATGCAGGAGAAGCCTAGGTGTGAAGCACAAGGCTTTGCTGGCAAAGCGGTTGGTGTGGTTGTGTGCATGGAACTGGGCTGTGTCCCCCTTCAGAGGGTGAAGTGCCGAATTCCTCCATCCTTTCTGGCCTGTGCTTTTGGCAAGTGGGGCTTTGGGTCGCTGCTTAAATCCCATTTACCTGGATTTTAGTTGCGATGACCCTAGCAGGGAAGAAAGCAGTAAAAGTGTGACTGTATGGCCCAATGTTCAAGTGTAAGGGAGTGCCTTTTGGGCGGAGACAGGCACATCGTTAGTTCTCTTTTGTTTCCTTTGTGAATCAATCTGTATGGTGTGTGGAAGGAAGTTTCCCAAATCAAACCAACCTTGGCAGAACTGTGCAGCAGATGGAGTTGTGGTTTAATGAGCTGCTGTAAAGCTTTCCCTCCAGCCCAGCAGGGATGTTCTAGCTAGGGGAAGCAACCTTCAAGCCCTGGAGCCCTGCAGATGTATTTTTAGAGTTGCAATGTGGGAATTGTTTTATCCATGAGGATTCTGGCTGATGTTGAGCTACAGGAAAATGGGATGTTGGTAGGATCATTTAGCCACTTGTATTTCCCAGATGTGCAGCACCCTGGCAGAGTGAGGTGGTTGGATAGCAGCCCAAGTCTTCCCTTATTACGTGTCTGCATGAATTTGGGTTTTCAAATGCTGTTGTGTATGTCCGAAACCCTCAGCACTGACTTTTGACAGGAAAGAAAGTGCAGGATTCCCCCTGTGGAGGCTGAGCTGCAGGTCTGCTTGAATAGCATCCTTCCTTTGGCTGGCAGCTAGTACCTGCTGCCTCAGCATAACGTGAGGGACCTTCTGTTACTCTGCTGCGTGGGGATGGATGTGTGGATGGAGACTTCCTTCCAGCTGGTTCTGGCATAGTGACAGAGGTTTCTGTTCCAGGAGTAAAAGCCTGGCTTCCGAGAGAGCTTCTCAGGGGCCTTCCCCATTTCAGGGACACTTGCTGAAAATACATGCCATGAGATTTGCTCTTGATCAGGACGCTTCCTCTGGCAGTGCTGAGGGGTAAGGGATTGCCAAGATGGCCATCTCTCAGCTGTCAGGCTTCAACCGCTGTCTGCTTTTTGCTTCAGGCTTTTGTGCTTCACTGGAGGGGGTCTGGGGCTTGTGTTTCTGTTGACACTAGCAGCTACTTCTAAGGAGGTTTCCTTGCTGTTGGGGTGTTTGCTGGTTCACGGATGACTCAATCCAAGGTTCCAGTGTTTGTCTTTGTGCTCACTTGCAAATGCTCCAAGCCATTCTCCGTGTGACTGAGAGCAGTGAGAGTATCCCGTGCTGTGTAAGACTGGCAGGGCCTTTCA